ATTTTATTGGGCTTTGAAAGCGTGTTAATGTGTTTTGAAAAAGGAACTAGATGAAACAAAGCTGGTAAAACCTGAATCAAAGTTTTATCTAATGATGTTCTTTTAAATGTGGCAAAAACTACCTCAGAGGTCAGTTTCCTTTTATTTGATTAAAAAGCACCAACAGACAGATAGACTAGAGCAGTAACATTTTATTAAAACAAAGAAAAAAAAAACCGCTTGACCATTTTCTACTCCAACATACGATTTCTGTTTGACTCACATTACTGCTAAATTCAGATTAAACTGTTTAATTTCCCAGTCAACTTTTAAAGAAAACCACAGCACTCTCCGCCTCATCCACTTCTGATTTCTGCAGCATTTCTGAGTTCAATAAATTGTAAAACAGCTCATCTTTGAAAAAAGACCAACTGGTTCAGTGTTTCTTTAATCCCCACACAACTTCTCACAGATTTCAAGACCCTCTGCTGGATTATTAAGCATGATAAAAAAAAAAGCAGTGATGTAGCTGCTAGAAGCATCCATAGAACATTTAAAAAGATTCAGTATTCAATATGTTTCACCAAACATATGTTTCCTTTCAAGTGTTTAGTTTACAAAAAAATTAGCAACAACAACATTACAGACACCCCCCCTACTCACCACAAGAGGTTTTCCACAGTGTGCAGCACCAAGCAGGGCCAGGCTGTGGTAGAAATGGTATTTATTGGCAGTTTCATACAGCTGAAAACAAAGAAAAGGAAAAAAAAAATGTGATTAACAGTGAGCAAGTAATCTTGGACCACCTTTAAAACTATTAAAACTTTAATAAAATGTTTAAATAGTGCTACTTTTACACAAAAAAATGTATATTTGTTCATAATCAATTTATTTACAGGGTGCAAAGCTGCTTGGAATAGTTATTTAAAGCCGTTACTTTACATCTATGGCTCTCTCGGTTCTTTATTGTTTCTAACAGAATGGATTACAAAACCTCTGTGGCAATTTTCTTTGGAATGATGAAACCAAACTTCAGATGCTTTGCAAAAATACAGAGAGCCGGTTTAGGAGGAAACCAAACCAGCAGAAGGTGATGATCCAAGCTTGCTTTGCAGCCTCTGGAGGGCAGCTTCCAAACATTCAGCTAACATTCTGGACAATGATCAAACATACAGTAAGAGACTCTAAAACAGAAAGGCTATGAACCAGAATTATGATACATTGACCCAAAGTCCAGACATCCAAAGGCACAGGCCTAAACATGGTCTCATGTTGTTAAGAGCAGTGGAGCAAAAATCCCCAGAGAATGTGGAGAAACTTCGGCTTCCTATCATTTAAATCACCAATTGGAGTTTAATAAGAAGTGACAGTGTATAATCTATATAAAATTATCTAGTAATAACAGGGCATTTCATAATTTGAAGCAGCCACCCTTTTGCACTGACACACACAAAATGTATTACTAATATATTAAAAGTTTGATGCAAATCATAAAAAACATAAATACCAGAGCATGCTATTATATCTTGATGAAAAACTAAATTGAAATTGTGCAATCTTTTTGGGCCTTCTGGGCTTCCTTACATAAAAATGAATTAAATGACATAGTGAAAGTTGATGATGTAACACAATTTTACTAAACTTAATCCATTTTCCTCCTGACTGTACAGAAAATAAGCTTAATGTGAAACAATAATAAAGCCTACAGGAAAGAAACCTATAAAAAAAAACTAAAAACTTTATAGTTAGTTCCTACTGAAACACACACACATATGAGTGAATTTACAAAATGCAGAACGTTAAAAGACAATTAAAAAAGTACAGAATGCAATAAATGCATACCGTTATTCGGTAGTCATCGGGGTCTCGGTTTTTGAAACCTAAAATAAAACATAAAGATCAGGAATCAGTTTTAACTTTTATTTTTCACACAGTTGTGGACGTTGAACTATGAAGGCGGGTCACCTTGATTATGAAATATCTTCATTTACATTAATAAATCAAATATTAGTCCTTTTTTCACATGCCGAAATGTTGATCTTTCTAACTTACATTGTTTTCATGTAAGCTTATTTACGTTTTAAAAACAAAGCAAATAGAAATTAGGAAAGATATAAAAAAGCGCGTTTCATGAGTGAAAGCTGGTATGGGGTACTTTAAAAGCGACAGCTCGTGCTGGTTTTTGCTCACGGTAATATAAGATCCCGAGTTAGTTTTATTTCCTTACCATGGGCTCCATACGCCCCTGCTCCCACCGCAGAAGCCCCTGACAGAGCTGCTAACCTTCGGACCAAAACAGACGCCGCCATCTTTTCCTACCAGCGATAAGTGACGGAGGTGCTGCCTTTATGGTCACCTTGAAATTTCTGAAGTCTAAGCCTTTTAATTCTGGGTTTACTGTTTTAGAATTACGGGTGCAGTAAATTAAATTAAAAAATCATCCAATAAATACAAAATTAAGCACTATAATTTCCATTTTGATTTTTTTTTTCATAAATTTTAACAATTTGCTAAAATAATGTATTCTTTACCAAATATATTGTATTAGTAATTAAACGCTCTTGTAACCCGACAACTCGGATTGCCTCTTGAGCCAAAATGTCGATACCGTATTACAGTTTTAGAGCTCACCGTGAATTTTCTTGCCCAGAGTTAGTAGATCTGACACTGACTTTTCATTTGAGAAGCCACTTTGCTACTGTGACAAAATTCGTGCCAACCTTTTAATTTAATCCCTGGTTGCTGGTCATATAGTTTAAAAGCTTTCAAGTGTATTGTATAAGACATGTAAAGAAAAAGAAAATGCTTTAGTTAATGTTTGTGGAAACAACGTTTTAAATATTTACTAAATACTTTAGATTATGAAGGTACAGTATGCAGCTACACAGATGGACAAGATTGTTGGTACCTCAGGTTTAATTAAAAAAAAATAAAAACCCAATGGTCACAGAAAGAACTCGAATCTTATAAATATCTTATTATACATTAAAAGATCTATAAAAATGAACACATGGAAGTCAGACATTTATTTTAACCATGATGCTTGAAGAAATAAATGAATGAAACAGGCCTGGACAAATGTAATAGCACTCCTAGAGAAGACTAAAAGCAATGCGACCAAAGGGATGTCTCCACTAATTAGCATGAAAAGTGTATACAAATCTGGTAATCGGTCAGTGGGCCTACATGTAGGGCTATAGGGTACTACTGGATTGCTGATAGCCCTGTCACTACCCGATCCGTCCC